TCTTTTACAAACTATCATAAATTCTGTTAAATATCCATTTCCCCTCGGCTGCCTCTCGGTTTTTATTAATTGCCCAAATGCCTTCCGCCGGCGTTTCATTAATTTGTGCATCTTGTAATCAGCTCCGATTTCCTCACCATCTAGTGTCTGCCCGCCTGGCTTGGCTGAGGTTTTGTCTGTCGTAAATCAGAACAGGATTGCACCCGGAACTAATAATTCTGACCACAACGGCTGGAAGACGGGGGTTTTACTGTCCTTGTCAAGGAAATAAAAGAAGAAGAATATTATCTGAACAAATCGGCGACAAAAAATAAAACATTAGAAGATTTTAAAAAAAATAATAGAGGCGAGAACAAAGCTACTAAAGTCTGGTGAAAAAGGAGGAAAGAAAAGGCACTCGCTTTGTGAGGATATTATTCCAAGACTTCTGAAAGCTTAGTTCTGTTCTGAGGAGTCCGAGCTTCTAATTATAGCCCAACATGGCGGCCCCAGCCCAGGGAGGAGCAAACAAGAGTCAAGGACAGGCGCTGGCGGGGTGCAACTTTGTCGCCCAGGACCAAATCTGGTGAGTGAAACTTTATCATGATCACCCATTGAGTTCTATTTATAGATCCCACAGCCTTTGGAACCAGAGATTATGGACTACAAATTAATGGTTTAATAATAGCTCCCGTAGGGACGTGTTATCTCTAATGTTATCATCACGGAGGACTCGACGTTTTTGGGGGGATGTACCATGTTATCTTTCAGAACAGTGGAACCTGCTCTAGTAAACGCCAACAGTCCGAAAACCTGTCCAAGACAACATAATTATTATCTTATCGCCTGACGCGTTACCATCAAATTATTAACACCAAGCGTTGCAGACGAGCGAAAAGAGAAGACCCCCCCCCCTTCCTAATAAAAGTGGGTCAATTTCAGTGGTGGGTGTCGATCTACGGGCAACGCCCGCTACCTAGCTAGGTGTATATTATGTGTGTATGGATATTATAACGAAAGGAAAGTGGGACGGTAGGGGAGAGAAATGGGTGCGTTTGAGGTGGGGGGAGGTGGGGAGAACGTAAAGGAGGTGGGGTGGGGTGGGGGAAGGGAGTGTGAGAGATCGTAAGGGGGTGGGGTGGGGTGGGATAGGTGGGTGGGCAGCGGTAGGGTGTTCAAGAGTGTATGTGTGTGTGTGTGTGTGTGCTTATACTGAGCACGACAGGAACACGAAGACCGTTAGTCAAATCGCTATTCTTTCCTTCCACCTGTTTAACCGTTTCTAAGCCTATTCTTCCAGTGTAGCAGAATGTGGGCACAGTAGCGCTGTGTGTTTGGAGGTTCAGATATTTCATTTTGAGTACGTGAGTGAGTGTATGTGTGTGTTTCGCTGTGTACAAAATACTGTATACCTTCTCGTATACGCTGGTGCTGCCGAGTCTTTCTGGATTTGTCACCCTTGTTTGTTTTTCCAGTGCCGTGTCGCGTCGATCCTTGCCTCATGATTTGTCAAACGTTTTTAGTATCTATTTTCCGTGCCGATTTCGACAGGGCTAAATCCGTGTCAGGAAATATTTCCTTGTGTTCCCTCTGGGGCGACGTAAACACGTAACGACCAACACCCCACTCATCCATCCCTTTCCCCTCCCTTCTCCCCCTTTTCTTCTGCTCCTTATTTTTTTTATCCCCCTGCCCC